CAATGTCAAGAACAGAGGGACAATCATTTCCCTAGTCCTGCAGGCCGCACTATTTCTGATCCAGGACAAGATGCCATTGGCCTTCTTGGCCACCTGGACACGCTGCTGGTTTATGTTCATTCATATGTTGACCAGCAACCCCAGGTTGCTTTCCACTGGAGTGCTTTCCAACCACTCTGTCCCAGGCCTGTAGCACTGCACGGGGCTGCTGTGACTCAAGTGTAGGACCTGTCACTTCACCTTGTTGAACCTCACACAATTGTCTTCAGCCAATCAAAGCAGCCTGTCCAGATCCCTCTGCAGAGCCTTCCTACCCTCCAACAGATCAACACTCGCACCCAACTTGGTGTCATCTACAGAGGGTGCACTTGATCCCTTCAACTAGGTAATTGATAAAGATATCAAAAGAACTGGCCCTAAAACTCAGCCCTGGGGAGCACTACTTGTGATCAGCTGCCAACTGGATTTTGTGAGTTTTAACAACAGCAGATGCAACAAGAAAAAAAGCAGTTTCTCAGCACTTTTATACCAGAATTACAAGAATGACTGTATAAATATCACTTATCTAGTGGCTACGCTCCATGTATTTAATTCACTGTATTAGTAGAATATTTCTGCTGTGATCCTGTGTAAAAATTCATAATGAAAATAAGCATTCACCTATGAATAATGGACAATCATATGTTGATAATTTATGTGAAGTCTATAGGACTTTTGTAAAACCCTAAAAGTAGTTCATGGCCACTGTATTTCTAAAGCTAGTGAAACAATGTGTGAAGTATAATCATTTCTCTACTTACCATTGAAAAATATTATGTGATTTGTTGCAAAGACAGAAAGGAAGGTAAGAGAGGCATGCTTTGGCAGGTAGTATTAAAGTACAGAATTACAATCCATTACATTACATTAACAGTGAACAACCCTATTCATAATAGAGTGTTAAGTGCCAATTATTATAAGCTCTCTGCTTATTAATTGACATGTGTTAGCAAGCTTTTTAAAAAAAGATGAAGATTAATTTGAATTGGCATACTGATTCTTTTTGATGACTGAATATGTGCTAAGAAAACATACTACCATTAAACAAATTTAGTTCCTAGAGATGTTTATTAAAACTCACAATAAATTGCTGTAGTAAATACGGACTAAGATTTGGCATGGGGGCAAAAATGTGCAAGAATGGATAAAGAAATATCTTCCAAAGTGTGCTCACTTCTGGATGGGTCTCTTCCTCCATGTTACTGCCCTGAATAGAATTACTAGATTTTTTTTCTTATCTTTCAGTCATGACCTCAGGCTCCCTACTTCAGCGAGGCAGATTCTATCTCAAAAAACTTCCCATCCAAGGTCAAGTTACCCCTACAGCTTTATCTATATGTTGTAGTTCTCTTTTGAAATATAAACCTTCTTCATGCTGTTCCATTCTGTTTGCCTCTGAACATCCCAATTTTCTTTTAAAATTTTTTTAAGTTTTTTTGCTTGAAATATTTGAAGAAATATTCTCAAGGGTTTTTTTTTTTACCTGAAGTGTACTGTTTAAATTAGAGATTCATCACAAAATAATCAACCAATTAAACAAATGAAAAGAAAATGAAAAGTTAAAGATAATATCCTGTTACCTTGCTGCCTTTAATTTTTCATTAGGCCTACAGGGAAAATACCAGCTGAAGGATCTGACATGTTATTGTTAAGCCACTCTCCATCATCTTTGAAAAGCAATGGGGAACAGGAGAGGTGCCTGAGGACTGAGAGAAAGCCAGTGTCACTCCAGTCTTCAAAAGCGGTGAGCAGAAGGACCCAGGGTCATTCAGCCTCATCTAAATCCCTGGAAAGTTGATGGAACAGTTCATTCTGGATGTTCTCTCTAAGCATGTAGACAAAAAAAGGTTATCAGGAATAACTGATATGGATTCACTAAGTTAGACCAATTTAAGACTAGTTTGACCAATCTAAGATCCTTCTATGACGGCATGACAGGATGGGCAGATGAAGGCAGAGGGTGTGGTCTATCTTGATTTCAACAGGGTTTTTAACAATGTCTCCTGTAGGATCCTTATGTGTAAGGTCGAGAGTGGTTTAGAAGTGGTTGAGAACTGCCTGAATGGCAGAGCTCAGAGGGTTGGAATCAATGGTGTAGAGTACAGTTGGAGGCCTGTAGCCAGTGGTATTTTTCAGGGTGAGCAGCAGGAGACGGAGCACACCCTCAGCAAGTTTACTGATGATACAAAACTGGGAGAAGTGACTGATACAGTAGAAGGCTGTGCTACCTCAGTGAGACCTGACAGACTGGAGAGCTGGGTGGAGAGGAACCTAAGTTCAGCAAGGGCAGGTGCAGGGTCCTGAAGACATAGAGGAATAACCCCAAACATCAGTGCAGGCTGAGGGCTGACCTGCTGGAAAACAGCCCTGTGGAGAAGGACCTGAGAGTCCTGGTGGACAACAGTTAACTGTGAGCCAGTAGTGTGGCTTTTTGGACAAGAATATCAGTAGTATCCTGGGGTGTGTTAGGAAAAGTGTGGCCAACAGGTTGGGGGAGGTGATCCTGCCCTTCTACTCTGCCCTGGGGAGACCACATCTGGAGTGTTGTGTCCAGTTCTGGGCTCCTCAATGCAAGAAAGACAAGAAACTACTGGAGAGAGTCCTGTGAGGGGTTATCAGGATGATTAGGGAACTAGAGCATCTCTCTTATGAGGAAAGCCTGAGGGAGCTGGTACTGTTTAGCCTGGAGAAGAGAGGATGGAGAGGGCATGTTATAAATGCACACAAATATGAGGGTGGACATAAGAGGATAGGGTCAGACTCTTTTCAGTAGTTCCCAGCAGCAGGACAGGGGGCAACAGGTATAAATTTAAAAACAGGAATTTCCATCAGAATATAAGGAAAAACTCATTTTCTTTGAGGGTGACAAAACACTGGAACAGGCTGCCCACAGAGGTTGTGGAGTCTCTTTCTCTGGAGGTATTTAAAACCTGTCTGGACTAAGATCCTGTGCAGTGTACTTTAGATGAACCTGTTTTAGCAGGGCAGCTTGGAGTAAATGATCTCTACAGGTCCCTTCAGACCCGAACCATTGCCTGATTCTGGGATTCATTCCTTGGAGAGAATCTACCAGATATAAAACTGACCTGCTTACATGCAAAACATTAAGATCTGGATATTTCTACAAAAATGTATTAGATTAAATTGAAACTAATTTCTTCAGAAAAATTCTGTGAAATTTTTGTCTGAGTTATGAAAATTATTGCTGCTTATCCTAATTGTTAATAATGATGTTATTTATTAATACAGATGTCAACACATATAGCTTGGAAAATGAGCCTATATCAGAATTTACTCAATTGTATCTAATTAACAATAGGAATTACATACTTCTTTATACTGAAAAAGAAGATCTATTAGTAGCAGAGTCAACAGAGTCACAGTTTACATGACTGTGATTTCAGTTAGTTTTCTGATACTTCTTTTCTTCTTAAAAACAGTAGCATACATACACTTTTTTTTTAAGCTCTCACATACTTGTCAAGCATTCCAGGTTCATTTGCCATTTTGTATTCACTACCTTTTGTTCTTCTGTCTCTACATTACTCAAAAAAAAAAAAGTCAAAGTATTTTTGTAGGGAGCTCAAAATTTTGTGTTAAGCAGCAAAAAGATAGAAAAAACATAGGTATGGGACTTTAGAAATTACTGTTATTACTAACAATGTTTTAAGCATAAGGTGTACTTACTACCACTAATCACTTTGAAACAAAATGTTTCTTTTAATGGAAAAGTGCAGATGAAAAGTTCTAGAGGGGGATCCCTCACATGCCTCTTGACATTTCATGGAGTCAGGGGCAAGTTTTGACACACAACACTGTGACCTCCCTCAGGTATATTCTTCGTCTGTGTGCAAGTTGCAAAGACCGTAGTTGTGATTAATTTTACTGTATGGATACTGATTCAGTGACACAACTTTGATCTATTTATAACAGTTTGCCTAGCCAGTGGCCAGGATAAATTATTAAGTCACAAAAATGTAATTGGCCTCTCTTGTGCTACATAGCATAAAAATTCAGTCATTGATGCTATTATTTTGTTCTAAACTCAAGTTCATTTTATTCCAGACCGATCATGGACGCAGCTGCACAAAACACGGAGACTAAGACTTCAAGTATATACCCTGAAGCAATAACATTTAGTCCCTGAGGTTATTAGAAACTCTTTAAGTAGATGTAGAACAAAGGTGAAAATTCATCGGCTGAGATTAGCTTTTTCTTGTTAACTAACAGCTATTATGCATGATACTCTGAGATTCATTCTCCAGTGTGTTACTGTACATAAAATAAAGGCAGATTGAGTGATTGACAGTTAGCAAAGCTAAGCTCAAGTAGAACAAAGTTTTCCCTGGAGAAGTTAGAAATTGTTTAATGCTTTATTTTAATGTCAAGAAATTCTAAAATAGGAAAAGTAGGAATTTTTTGTAAGGAAAGAAAAAAAAAGGAATCAAAATCTGAATTAAGAAAATATTAAAACCTTTAATGGAAAAATATTGCAATTTACCAAATGTTCTAAACAATCACTTCTAAACAAAAAAGACTAGGGAGTGAGCTGTCTCAGATATATTAGAAATGGATGGAGATCTGCAAGACAAAGAATTGAGTCCTATAGCTTAAAACTTACAGACTTAGATAATTTCTAAGAAATAAATGTGTAGGAATTTGGGAGGAGAATTTAAACTAAAGTCATAAAATTAACTCAGAGTAACTAAGAAAAGCAATTGACTTTTCTGTGAGAAATCAATCATGTCTTGCAAGTTTCAACATTTTATACATGACCAGGAAAGTATAAAATCTTTCTTCCTGCTCATAAGTGCAAATCATGACAAGTAGTTCACTGGGAAAAAAATAGGTGAAAGGGAAGAATTTTCTGAAGCCTTAATTTTTTTGATATTTTGAACATATTGTACTTTATATTATAAAAATTGAACTCTTAATTTTTTTCCTAGGCAAAACTGCAAGGTATTTGAAATGGAATTAGGCACGTGATAGCACAAGGAGTTGAGGTATTATTGTAAGGATCAAAGCAGATGAAAAATCCAGTATAATTTAATTACAGAGGAATTAAAATATCAAGAAAAGGAAATGTTCAGGAATCAAGAAAAGCTAGAGAGAAGAAAGCAGATGTGTATCAAGTCTGATGATTAATAAGGTACCGGATGTGTAAATACTCATCATTACTTCTGATAAGTCCATTTTAAGATCTTCAGAGTGGAATAATGGTTATTCTGATGATAGTCCTTTAATCTTCTGTTGGTGTCAGGTCCATCAATGTCTGAATATTACTTCTTTGCTCTATATTTATTCCTGTGATGTACTAGAAACATATAATTTTGAATCAAAGTGCTAAATACAATGATTTGGTTTGAAGGTGGTGGTACAAACTGTTCCTTTGTATCTGTGTGTGTGTATCTACAGTTTTCTGTCCAAAACCTGAGAATTAACTATTAAGCTGTAATCCTTCTGAACATCTATTCTGAAAAGTCCAGTTGCATTGTTCACATTGTATTCTCTGAAAGACCTACTGAAGAGAAGAACCCAGATGAAAATTTGCATATTAACATGCATAATATATTATTATACTTTTTTTCTTTTTCCAGACTGAGAGACGAGTCTCAGAGACCACAAGTCCAGCTGTTAAATGCAAAAGTACAACCTTTACTAAACTGGGGAGTCATAGACATAATCACCTAAGAACATTAATAAGCAAGTCAATTTTTCTTTTTACACTTGATGATTCTAATAAGGCACTAGATGTGCAACTAAGGAAAATAATTCTCCCTAAAGACTTGTTGGTTTTGCTAAATTCACACAAGCATAGCTGTTCACAAATGTCCTTCTTTGCTACAGTCAGTCCTTCAGACAGAATGGCAACAGGCACCTTGAGGTATGGCACAAGCCATGGGACCAGAGATGATGGATGAGTCTGAGTAGGTGAGGTGGCAGAACACATTAGTGTTTCTCAGTTGCAACTATGAGTCAGCAGAAAACCTTAAACTACCATACGGACATTTAAAAAACATCATCACAGTTACTGTTGGTAAGCCTGAAGGCTCACAACATCAGGACTCCAGATGAATGCCCGAGGCATAAAAAATTTAGGATAAGAACACTTTTTAAAGTAAATAAATAAATAAAGATTGGTGTGCACTCTAAGAATTCTGAAGTTTCTCATTATTTTGTATGAATGATATAATAGCATATTGTAAGTTTTTAAATTTAGTTTTTCTGAAAATATTCTGTTGAGAATTACAGCTGGAACTTCAGGTTTTTCTTTTAAACCCTGACTGTCAGGATAATTAATTCAAAAACTCTGAACACAAGCTTATAATTACGCCAAAAGCCATCCCTGAAACTACTGCTCTTTCATTATATTTCTTATTATTTAAATGTATGTATGGGAGTAAATGGAAGAGCATAAATTACAACTCCATCCCCAGACAATACCATCTGCTACCTTCCTGTGGTTCTTTCCGTGTCTAACACTTCTATGAACATCATCAATGAGTCACACAACACAGCCAGTAGTCACTCTTGTGTGTGAACAGCTGAGGTGGGAAAGGGATATTTTTTAGATAGAGGAGATATCTCTACAGGGACAGGATGATGGATTTTACTCCTGATCCTATCATCAACTCAGTTTCATTTGGAACACATCTATCCTGCAGTTTCTTTCTTGGTGAAAATAAAGATGTTAGAATATTTTTCTGTGAAAAGAGATGCATTTATTATTGACTTTTAAACATAATAATGTTTCTTTTTCTAAGAACAGAATCTTGAATCAGAGCTCAATTCCATATGGTTTAGAAAAGAAATTAAACTTAAAACTGTTTTATACCCGAAGACATTAAAAAGAAGAAAAAGTAAAATCAAATTACAATATGTAGTTCAGCTCCATAGTTTTTTGCAAAATGCTAGTTACTTGCCAGTGAGATTCAACAGATTTTCAGGAATTATTTTCCTTATATGCAGACTTTTTTTAGATGATTTGTATCAATGTTTTAGTCCTTGTGTCTACTCAGTACAGGTATTGGTGTTCCCAGTGGCAAATTCTTGATTAGTAGAAAATGTAGAACTGAGAAAAATGCCAATTCTAGTTCACTAATTTTAGTAAAGATGGATAGCTGTTTTCAAGAAAAGCTACAATAATATCTTTGCTTTACATAATCTGAAAGCTCATATTATCCTAGAGAAATATGTGCATCTGTGCAATCTGAAAGAATAAGGGAATGAATAAGTTTCAGTCTGTTGATAAAGTGTAAATAGAAATACATTTGTGGTTTAGAAAACTTCAAATATGACTCATAACCTTGAAGAAAACATCATATCTATAGTTTTTACTATATTTTGTAGAGAAACAGTCTCAAATGACTTGCAAGTCTCCTCTGTTTCCCTCCCTCATCAATCATTAAATCTAATTGTATACAAATTAATTCATATATATTCACATAAACCTATTTTTATCTCAGTGTACAAAGAATTTGTTGCAATATCATGTCTTCTATACTGAATGATCCAGCGGACCTTTGCAAAATCACTGGTTTTTCAAAAAGAAAAATGACAAACATGCAAAATACCTTTAAGTAAAATGCCAAATAACAATTTACAAGCAAAGTAAAATTACCCAAAATCCCAGAATCACAGAATATGCTGAGTTGGACCCACAAGGACCATCGACTCTAACCTTTAGCCTTGCACAGAACCATCCTCAAGTGTCACACCATGGGCCCAAGAGTATTGTCCAAACACTTTTTGAACTCTCGGTGTTGTGACCACTTCCCTGGGGATCCTGTTCCAGTGCCAAGCCACCCTCTGGGTGAAGAATCTTTTTCTAATATCCAACCTAAACCTACCCTGGCACAACTTCAGACTATTCCCTTGAGTCCTGTCACTGGTCATCAGACAGAAGAGATCAGTGCCTGCCCCTCCTCTTCTCCTCATGAGGAAGTTCTAGAGTGCAAAGAGGTCTCTCAGTCTCCTCCAGGCTGAACAGACCAAATGACCTGAGCCACTCCTCCTACGGCTTCCCCTCAAGGCCCTTCACCATCTTTGTTGCCCTCCTTTGGACAATCTCTAATAGCTTAGTATATATATATAAAAAGAAGCACCAATCTTTTTGAATCATCAAGGAAAGGACCAAATTTATTGCTACACTACTGCAAGTGTTTCCTAAAGGCTAATTTAGGAAGGTTCAAATGTTCAGAACCTGTTGATGCTGAGTCATTTATGTGTCCCTGTATTGTATAAGGAAAAACATGTGTAAGGAAATCTGTATAGTTAATAAGCTGTGGTTTTTTTAAATGTTCATCACATCAACAATGTATGATGTAATATCATCTAATTCCAACTTTCTCATTGGTCAGCAAAAATGGATTTACACTTCTATAGCACAATTCCTCTCTCTTATTTTTAGCGTGCATTAGGATGAGAAAAAATACATCCCGAAAATGATTGATATAATCTAGTGCCCGTAAAGGACACTGTTTAGGTCATGCAGATGTCTGTTTTGCAAATATCTGTGGTTAGGTAAGATGAATAAAAGCATTACTGATGAGGTAATGCAATAAACAGTGCCCAGGTACTTTTCTTGATCCAGACCATAGTCTCTGACAGCACTGTCCAGCGGTTTGACACAAAAATTCTGTTACCTGAAGTACCTCTTTGCATTTTCTTAATACGATTTCATTAGTTTGATAATTCTGGACATTTCTGGTTTAGAGTAAAAGAAGCATTTAAGTAAAAAGGAAAAAACTGAAAGCTTCTTTCTCCAAATGCTGCATCATTTGTCTGTCTTTTCATATGTTTTTACTGAAATTAAAAGGACACCAGCAACTATGTGCAGCTAATGACAGATTATTGTTTTTAGCTTCTACTCCTTATTGAAATGCAGTGGTTTAGCACTGTGGAAGCTGGGACATAGAAAAGTATATTGAAAGTGTAGAAAACTAGTACCATAATAAAGAATGCTGCACATTTTAGGAAGGTATGGATAATAGCTTGGACTCCGAAGCTTGTTTATTGATTTCCAAAGTTTTCCCCTCAGGTGGATGTGATAAATATGGGCAATTTGTTTTCTCCACCTAACCAGAACAACTGAGTTTTAGTTTTGTTTGACAGGTTGACCATCCATTCATTCTGCATGATACAACACATTGTCGCCGTAATGACTCAGAAGGAGGAAACCCAAAATGGAAACAATGCAGTTGGTACATCTGGTTTTTATCCCATCTTCTGATCTTCTACAGTATGTCCGATAAGACGTAACAAGAAAACATGGTTGAGTTGCTTATTGGTTTATGGTCTGGCAAGGTTCTTGCAGCTTCAGAAACATTTAGGGCTGATTGAGTATTCATGCATTATTTAAATGTACACTATTTCATTCCTATAAATAAATTAAAAGACTGAGGGTTTTTTCATGGATATTAATTCTTGATTGATATTGGAAACTAAAATATCTGAAAATGGACAACGTGGGAGAACAATGGAAAACAATCTATAACACAGAGAGAACATGCAGAAGTTGTTGTTTCTCTCCTCATATGTTCTTATTAAAGAATACACAGACAGACTATATTACCCATTATCTGCTATAGCAGCCACTCTTGCCAAGTGAGTATCCTAAATTGTTGGTTTGGGTTTGGTTTTTTTTGGAGGAGGTGTGAGGTATGGTTATAACATACAACATATTTTGTGTTGAAGTCAAAAAATAATACTTCAGTTATAAAGACTTTATATATATTAATGAAGAACATGTTTTTCCTTTGAAAGTAAAAAAAATACTGAAATCCTCATCTCCTGAAAAGCTGGAGGGCCCTTAGAATGTCTTTGAGGAAGATATGCCCTAGTTAAATGCACATAATTTTGCCTGGAGTACACACTGGGTCACATTAGATGATCTAGTATCCTTTTCTGGCATAAATGTCTATGAAAATACAAATTAATATAATATATTTATAAAATACTAGGTAAAACCACAAAGTACATGAAGATTAAGTGACCAGTATAATGCTCACAAAATTCTAAAAGAAGGGAAGGTTACTCACAGTCTAGTCTACTATTACTGAAAAAGCCTCCTTTTTCAGTAATGTCAACTGCACTGACTGAAAGATTAGCAAAAATGATTTGTTTGGAGAAACATACAGGGCAAATCTTATAGTTAGTGGACTTTTATTCGCCTCAAGAAACTTCCAGGTCAGACTTTTCTTTTAAAATATGATCTGAAGTGATTTCCTCGTTCTAATCAGTAAGTCTGTAGTCATAAAATCCACCCAGAAGTTCTTCATGCCAAGCAGGAAGGACAATGTTATAACTTCAAAGTCTGGAATTCTAACTTGGACTAAGATACTTTCCCAGCCCTTCTTACACCTCTTGAGGGGATGGACAAACACTAACTTCATCACAGATCTTTCAATATATTTAAAATTCTAGTTCTCACCAGATTTGCAAAAATGTTTGAGCAAAAATCTCTGAGGTGTACCACCAAGTTACCTTTTTGGTACAAGGCAGTAAACAGCTATAAAAGTCTTGTAGAAAATCAAGGCATCTTGCTACAAATGTCCTAGTAAAAGTGAGAGAAAAGTGAAGGAGCAGAAAAAGAAGAGGGAAAATGACGGAATTAAGTTATTATACGATAATAACAGGATATTGGAAGGATGAAAACCTTGAAAAGAGAGAAAAGAATGTAAAAAAGTATGGGATAGAAAGCATAAACATAGGGAGAAAGGATACTGCTATAGACTGTAACATTTACTACACAACTATGTCGTGATAGTTTACTTATAGTGGTATTTTGTAGTGATGGGCAACAATAAGGAAGTATTCTCTCTGCTTGACAATAGGATATTATTTCAAGTGCATGTTTATTTTTCAGTAATTATTCACAGTAAATGTGACCTATGGTTAGTAAACTGATCTTATAATAAACTTTGGTGGTTAATAACCAAACAATCTATCAGCTAAGAAACTAAATCCTAAAAAAATCATAGATTTTCACTGTCATACATGTTTTACAATCTTTTCTTTTTCTCCCCTCCTCCTGCCTCCACCCCTCTATACCCACCCTTATTCTTTTTTTTTTCTACAGAGGGATAAAGAGATAGGGGTTTTCTGTTGAAGTGTATGTGCAAAAAAATATTCATGGCACAAGAGGAAAAGGCCATCTGTTCATTTTCAGTGGGGACATGGTACAAGCATTTTGATTTAGTTCCACCACTGGACTCTAAAATCAAAGACCATAATATTCTCTTGACGCATGCAGTCATTTCTTGTAAACATGTTTCTAAGTGTTCCAATTATTACTGTCTGGTTTTCCTTGGCGGGATATTCTAGACCTTAGGGTATAAGCCGCTCTGCATCCCATTTGAATTTAGAATTCAGTTTTCACATTTGTTGAGGGGTTTCTTTTTCCCTAAGGCAGAGAATTTAGGTTCTTATTTAGTCAGATTATATTGATCATTGAACCCCCAAATACCTCTTATTCTACACTTGTTACTCCAACATGTGGGACATTATTAATTGCTTCATAGCTGTTAACAGTTTTCTGAGAGCATGTATGAATTCTAGTTAGAAGAAGTAAAAATGATGATTTCTGATAAACATTAGAAATTCTGGACTCAATATAAAACAAGACATATCACTGATTAATAGGTACATGAGAAAAATAGAACAGCACATAAATACAGTACTATAAAGCATAAATGTGAGAGTTACCACTTAAAGTAAACTTTATAGTAATGGAGAATGCACAGTATTATGACTGAGTGTTTAGTTTCCAGCTGGGTTTAAACCATGACACTGAGAAAATGAGAACGAACAAGAAAATAAAACCCAGAATGAGAAACTGCAAAACTGCCAAAGGATTATGGAGAAGTGTCTTGGCCAAAAAACTCATGATTTTTTTTTTAATTTTTATTTTAGAAGGGTCATCAACTGTCTCTGAAAAAAAACTAGCCAAAATTCATGAGTTTAACAAAATGTATTTATAAGTAATGTTCTAATAGTATTTTATTTGCAGATAATTTTTCAAAAAATAGTTTTAATAATCTTGTTACAAACTCTCTATCAATCCTAAACATTGTCAGCTCACAAGCTTCTGTCATATGAGCAACACGATTTTTTTACGGTTGCAGGAAATTTTCATCCTTTTTGTAAAGTGTAATTCAGTTGTTGCCCCAAGACTAATTCCACACAGCAATCATGAATTCCACAAGGTTGGCTAGGAGATTTTCTCATAAAAAATCCATGCTCTAGGAAACCCTGCTCAAACAAGGAGGTTGGACTAAAACACCTCCAATGGTCCCTTCCAACCTTACCCTCTGATTCTGTGATTCTCCTAAACTAGTCATGCTTTTTTCTTTTGGACTCCATGCTAATATTTCCCTAGTTCCTACTGTTCCAAGTTCCTTACTGCATGTTTAAGAAGAAACTCAAGAATGCCAAAAAGGCTTGAAATCTGTGTAAGGGAAGGGAGTTGCTGATCTGGAATAGTACAATAACCTCAAGAAACTCAAGAATACCAAAAAGGCTTGAAATCTGTGTAAGGGAAGGGAGTTGCTGATCTGGAATAGTACAATAACCTCAATGTATACTGCTGTTGGGGAAAAGGGAACTGCTGACTGAGATGCACCTTAGCATGTGGCTAGCCACGGTAGCAAGGGAAAGGTAACCACAAAACTCAACATAAGCCTTGATGTGACATTTCCTAATACATTGTTTTGTATTACCTAGATATGGACTAATTGAAATATTGTTAAACTTAAGTTATAGATAATGGAATATCTATGGACTACAACAATTGAACTATTGCACTGCTGAGCTAACATGGTAAGTAGAACATATTAAAAACTATGGGATAATGATGTCATTATATCAGATGCAGAAGGAAGAAATGGTCATTTCTGATTAGTTTTGAGAACCTGACTCCCCAGAGGATCATTCTCAGGAAGAGGATATGAAGACCAAGGACACAACAATCAATTATCTCCAGACTGAGAAAAAAAATCAGCCAAGTAACAATCAGACTCCAAAACTGGGGTAATAAAGAACAGATCAGTCTTTTGAGGGGATGAAATGCAGCTTAAAGGACTGATGTGAAACTTTTGATGTCAGGAGGACCAGCACTGCAGATATCAGTGGCTGCTAATAGGCAACTGCTGTGGAGGACATTTTCCAAGTCACCTTCACAGTTCGGCAGATGCAGCTGGTTCACCTGTACCACCTACCACAGATGTGAACTCTAAGGTCTAAGATAGGAGACTTGTTAACTTAAGATTATTGGGAGAACTCAGGGATTTGAGACTGAGGGTGCCTACCATACCCATAACACTATTTTGCTGATATTTTAATGACAGCGTAATGTTGAGTTTGTAGCATTCATACAACAGCATTGACATAATCGAATTACTTATTTTATAAGATTAATATGATTATATTTTCTACCACCGTTCATTAATTATCTTAGTGTCATGACTGCCAGTTATTATGTGCTGTTTTGTCCCCAAGTTGAATATTATTGAATTGTTGTTGTACTTACTATGGTTATGACTGTGCTGGAATTCACATAACCTTCCAATAAACAAAAGCTATTAAATATCATACATACTTCTTCACACAATTAATCTCTTTCCTTAATGGATAAAAACTGCATATTGTTGAAGACTGTCTTGCTAACAGCTTGCCCATTAAATTCCACTTCCTCTCCTCACGGTTCTTCACTAAGACTGGCTTGCTTGTTGCCTTCTGACCTTCACTCATGTCTTTCCATTAGTGCTCAAATACTTTCCAATAAAAGCTTCATTTCTGGGCTCTACATCTAATCTTGTTTCTTCTTTTAAAACATATTAATACTTTATTTTGCAGAGACCACCTTAGGTCTGCGACAACACTATGGTTTCTAACCAGATTATATCCATGCACATTTGCCTGGCCTTTCCACACATCCCTATTTTCCCTTCACTTCTAATCATAGATTCCTGAATAGCTCTCTTGAAATTAGATACCAGAATTCTGCTTTTTTTTTTTTTTAATAAGGCTCAATTTATACCATGTTTTGTGTTTTCCTTGAAACTGAACCTCCTATACCCCTTCTAATCTCTGTCTAGTCATCTAGTTTTGAAAACATCTCTTATGATGATCAAATTCAAATAGGATGGTTTGCACCCTCATCTCCTTTACCCAATTTCTCTTGCTTCCTGGACACAAATACAGACTTGTCAACTGGTTGTTCAAGAGGAACAATTCTTTTGCTGCTGTTTATAATTCTGAGACATAGAGACACCTTGGTATATGAATATCTGCTGGGACCCAGCCAGAACATGCTCAGTTCAGATACAGTGCTTAG